GCTGTGCGCCACTGTGGGCCCCCCCGAGGGAGCCTTGTCAGGTGACGACCGTCAGGACACCCCCGGCTGGGCTGACCTGGGTCCCGGCACCCGGAGGGGCGCAGGGCTGGGACCGCAGCTGCTTGGGGACCAGGGGGACAACCAACTGGCACACGGCACCGCCCACACCAAGGGTCCTGGGCCAGGTCTCCTGAGATGGGAAATCGAGGAGCGCGGGCAGAGGGACACGGACGTGGGTTGGGGACATCCGCCGTCCTGACCCTGGGGACGCATGTGTGCTTACTCAGCAGGACGGGACCCCATCGCGGGAGGGCTGAGGGGGCCTGGAAGGACCTGTGTCACAGCTTAGTGACCGCCCCCAACAAGGCTGCTGCCGTCCCAGGCACGGCGACGTGTGCTTGGTACGCCCCCACCCCCTCCCCGGGGGGGTGTCCCAGCTCACGGGGGTCCCCTCACGACCCACCCTCGCTCTGGGGCTTCACCAGGTCCAGCATCTGGCACAGGCAGTCCTCGAAGGGCAGCGCCTCGATGGCCATGCTGTCCAGCCGGCGGCACTGCTCCTCGTAGAAGTACTCCAGCTCGAACATGGACAGCGCCCCGTCCCCGTCCAGGTCCATGCAGCGGAACCAGTACTCGATGCTGCGCGCAGGACGGGCGGCCGGTCAGCACCCGGCCACGACGGGCCCCGCCCAGCTGCCCGCCGGGACCAAGGCCACCCAGCAAGAACCCCGCCTGGGAAGGACTCCGCCTGGGACGGGCCTCCGGGGATGGACACGGGGACACCCCTGCTCGGGGGACGGCCGGCGGGCTGCCTCCCAGTGCCCGAGCAGGAGCCCCGCACAGCTGCCACGCAGCTACCTGGTCGGGGTTCTCTTGTCTTCCTCGGAGATGAGGAACCAGACAAAGTCGGCGTAGCTGATCCTCCCCTCCTTCTGGACTTTCCTGCCTCTGGACGGGGGCCGAAAGTGACACGACACCATCAGGACGCAGCGTGCGGCCCGAGGCCCTGCCCGCGCCCACCGGGCACAAGGAACCCTGCGTTTGGCCCAGGGTCACACGCGGTCCTGCTGGGGAGGCTCCCGGAGCCGTCCTGTGACTGGAGGTGGCCCTGGGGCCAGCTGGGGCGCGAGCAGCTGCCACGGGCTTGGTCACAGCCCTCAGGTGCCCAGGACCGGACACGACCACAGACACAGGGCCTGCGTCCCCCTAACTAATGACCGCGTGTGACAAAGGTGTGTCCCCTTATTTACGACCTCGTGTGACAGAAGCACGTGGGCCCCCCCACATGTGACCTCACGTGACAATGACACGCTCTCAGAACACGACAGCTGCTGTCCACCACGCGAATGAGACAGAAGTGGACTCACACACAGCACACCGCTCAGTCATCCCGCGACAGAAGCCCGAGGGACACGTACCGCGTCACAGCTCCCGAGAAGATCCTGTCGATCATCTTGGTGGAGATGGCTGTGACACAAGAACAGGCCGTGAGCCACCGCTCGACGTCGCGCCCTCAGAGCCGGGCGGGGTCGTGTGTGGGTGCCGAGGCCGGGCCTGCTCGGGGCGGAAGCCTGGGGACCCCGGCCTCCGGCACACGCCCTCCCCGGGGCGCTGAGCCCAAATCAGAGCCAGAGGACTGAGCGGCTGAGCCAGGGCCCGTGACAGAGCGGACGGGAGAGCACGCTGCGGTCCCGCCAAGGGCCCCCTTCACGCCCGCACCTCGGCGGTGACGAGAGTGCAAGTGCACTAACTACGATCTGACTGCGACAGTGAAAGTGAGAAGCACCGTGTCACTTTGCTGGGGCCACCGTCACAGAGGACCCCAAACGGGGCAGCTTAAACCACAGACGTTTATTTTTCCCTCCCAGTCCTGGAGGCTGGAGTCCGAGATCCACAGTGTCCTTATCAGGGACCGAAGAGGAGGGACACAGACACAGAGGGGACGCCCCACGGAGACGGAGGCACAGACGGGAGCGCGTCCTGGGGCACCTGACCTCAGGCTCCTGGTGTGCAGCACGGGGGAGGACGCCCTGGCAGCCCCTGGCGTGTGCCCCCTGCTTCCGCACCCCCCACCCCCTCCCCCGCCCTGGACGAGGCCCCTCGTCATCTCCGGGAGTTCGGACTTTCGGCCTCCAGACCTGGGAGAGGATACCTTCCTGTTGGTTTGGGTCCCCGTCGTGGCCTCTGTCACGGCCGCCCCAAGGCACTAGGTCAGGTGCAAACACAATTCTAAGGCAGGACCCCTGCGTGGCTGCACAGGACGGGGCGCTCTGACCCCCCGTCCGCCTGGTCCCTTCCAGACACGAGGGCGGTCGACGCCCCTGCCCGTGCAGGAGCCCGTCAGGCTTGGGGAGCGGCGCGGGGGAAGGGCTGCGTCGTGGCCACCAGGGCCCTGCCGGGTTAGGGCTCCTGCACAGACAGACCCGGTGCAAGTGGTGGGCAGGGCAGTCCCAGCACCAGGGACAAACCAGGAGCCCCGGGGTGACAGGCGTGGGCTGGCGCGGCCCTTGGGGGCAGCCGTGACCACCGGCGGCACGTGCTACTCAGCCAGGGCCTCCCGCTGCCGGACAGACGTGTCCCTGTGTCTTGAGTCCCCTTGTCTCCTGTGTGTCCCTCAAACACAGGCCACTCCTGGAGGGCGCAGTACAGGACGCAGAGGGCGCTGTGAGGCGTCAGGCCTCAGAGCTGAGGGAGAAACGGTAACACCTGCCCTGGCCCGTGTGTCCCCAGCGCCCAGGATGCGTCCTCACAGCGCGCCCAGCACCCGGGGCTAGTCCCGTGTCCCCCAGACCCGTCCTCACTGTGTGCCCGTCCCCCGTGTCCCCAGAGCTTGGGAGCGTCCTCACCGTGGTCGTTGTGGCGGGCCAGGTCCTGCGGGTCGATGAGGAGGTCGTGGTCCGTGTCCAGCTCCCAGAACTTGCAGTAGATGACATAGAAGTGCTCGTAGGAGAAGAACTCCGTCAGCTGGTTGATGTCGGCCTCCTCCTCCAGCAGCGCCACGTTCTGACACACAAACGCGAGAGCCACCGCGGTTACTGGGGACACGGGCCTCCTGGGGGGCAACCCAGGGTCCCACACATGAGGGCGGAGGGCACGGGGCTGGGCAGGCCTGCTCCAGGGTCGGGAGCACGGCCCCGGTCACGGCCACGCGCGGGTGACGGGGCAGCACGTCCAGCGTGGTCCCTCCCCGGCGGGGGCAGGTCGGGACCCGTGCCGTTAACACCCACCGTGCACGGACCCCTGTGCGGGAGGCCTCGCTGCCCGGCTACCTCGGCCCCGCCTCCTGGACGGGGGGAGGGTGGGTGGACACACAGATGGGTGGAGGGACAGTCGGGTGTGGGTGGGTGGGTGGACGAAGCATGGACAGACAGATGCACAGATGCGCGGAGCCCTGTGCCCACCACCGGCCGCCCACCTGCAGGAATGAGCTTCTGCGGAGCTCGGCACAGGTGATCCGGCCGGACCAGGACCTGTTCACCGTGTAGAAGATCCTCTGGATGACCTGCGGGGGGCGGCTGTCAGCTGAGCGCCGGGAATGCGGGTGGCGGGACCGCTGGTCGCCAGCAGAGGGCGCCCACCCCCCACGCCTGACTCCGCCGGGCCAGGGCTGAGGTCACACACCAGGCGACACGGAGGCACAGGAGGCAGGCGGGGCTGCCTGTCAGCTGCACTCGGGGCCTGAGGGGCACACGGGCACGCCTGAGCTGGGAGGGGGTCGTGGGCAGGAGGCCTGAGGGTCTGGGGGTCGTCCTCACACAGGTTTGGGTAAAAACAGACGCTGTGAGCACTTCCACAGACGCTTACGTCACCGCTGGGTGAAAAGCAAGGATTTCGGGGTACAGTGAGACCTCCCTGTTCAACAGGCCCCCAAGCGTACGGGGCTCAGCAACGGTCTCAGAAGGGGGTCCCCTCACCTGTCTCCACCTCAGGACGTCCCCTCACCTGTCTCCACCTCAGGACGTCCCCTCACCTGTCCTCGCCCAGGACGTCCCCTTAGCTGTCCTCGCCCAGAATGTCCCCTGAGCTGTCCCTGTGCAGTAAGGACCCAACGTGCCCATGGAGTGCCCCATGTATCGATACGAAGCCTTGTTTAGGCCCCACACTGGATGTTCTCAGTACGGTGACGACCCCTAGTGACGGCGACAGGGAAGCATGCCCCGTCTGTGGGCCCACGGCACACGGGGCTCCTCGCGTGTGCTTTGTGTATTACGGGACGTGTGCTCCACGCAGAGCCCGCAGCAGGCGCCGGGCAGCCCAGGGCCACTCACGCCCCGTGCAGGGCTGGGGTGGACACGACGCCCATGGAGAGGGCACACCCGCCTTCCCAGGCTGCGCTCTGGGTAGTGCAGGGGTCCGGGGGGCAGGGCTGGGCCGTGGGCGACGTCCCCGGGGCAGAGCAGCGCCCGGCACACAGTGCTCCAAAGAGCAGGAAAGAGCTCCCTGAAGACTAGGAGTCCCCCCCAGGCCGCGTGGCCCCAGGCCGACCTTTCCTGCCCGGGTGGGACAGTGGAGCAGCTCCACTTCCACCTGACTGTGCTGCCCTGACTGCTGGACACGCGGCCAGGACCGCCGGGCTCTGGAGAGCTCGTGCTCCCGTCCGAGACAACCGCCCCTCGTAGGAGCCACCACCATCTTATCCCTGGGTGAGGAAGTGGGGTCTGAGAGGGCCTCAGTCACGTTTAGTCGGGCCCGGTCCCGAGACGCCCAGGAAGCCACGCGGGCAGCCGGCCTCCATACTCACGGTAGTGATGTAGCGGGAATGGAACTCAGACGCCTCCTTCAGGAAAGCCAGGCCGGGGTGGGTGTTCACCACGTCCTGCACACGGGGACAAGACACAGGTGTGGGTGGCCCGTGGCACCAGCGCACGCGCGTCAGAGACACGGGGCCTTCTACACCGACACGTGCAGCACACAGCTGCTCCGTAACACCACGCCGGACGCGTGACTACGTGAAAACAGCTGGTCCACGAGCTAGGACAGCGCACGGCAGTTAACATGGAGCTGTCAATCGCCTCTCACCAAGTTCCCGCGACACGTGTGAACACACAAACACCGCCGCGTGAGCCACATGTAATTTTCTGATACCGTCATTTGACGAAGACGTACAGTCACGGCAGCCCTCTGTCCCTTCTCGAGCGGCTTGGGACGTTTCAGTTACTTGTGATACTTAAGTGAACAGCCAGTAACGCTCAGTAGGGACCATCTGGAATTGCCTCCCCCAGTGTTGAACTAACGCTTCCAAAGGAATGAGACCGGCCTGTGCAGAACCGGCTCCGTGACCCATTTTGGGGACAAGGACACGCCCCTTGGTGCTCTGCCCTCCGTCTCAGGGACTCCACGTCCTAAAGGTTCACAGAGCAGGAAACGTCTGCACCGTCCTGCCGTTAGGACCTGAGGGCAGGCTCCCAGCACACGTGCAGTGTAGACACAGAAACGTACTTGTGAGAAGGCGGTGTGGGGTGTGCCGTGCGGACAAGTGAGGTGTGTGTGGTGTAGACCAGGGCCTGCCTACAAGGAAGGTGGAGGCGTGTGCAGTGTAGACGAGGATGTACCTGCCGGAAGGGCTGAGGTGCGTGAGGTGCAGACCAGGGCCTACCTGCAGGAAGGGGATGAAGTCCTCCTGCACCAGGTAGTTGCAGCCAGGGTTCATGAGCAGATGGACGAACCTGGCAGCGTCGTCGTGGCAGTTCTGCAGGACCCTGCAGCACAGGGGGTGTCGAGCGTCTGCACACACGTGTGTCCACACCGCCGCCCGCTGCAGCCCCAGACGGGGCCCGAGAAGAGCAGGTCCCAGAAGGGACAGCACGGCGGCCCCGACCCGGAGGTCACTAGCTTCCCTGGCTGCCCCAGGTGGACCAGCCTTGATGGAGGGAGGCCCCAGCCCTGCCCCCGGCCACGCCCTGGCCACGCCCCCCAGACCCAGGACTCACTTTCTCCACATGGCGACGAACTTGTGCACCGACACCGAGCCCGTGCGCTCTCCCCCGGCCCCGCAGAAGAGAGGTGCCTTCCAGTACAGCGGGCAGCCGCAGGCCTGCAGGGGGAGGGCGGTGAGCGCCACCCCACCCTCCAGCAGATGGAGCCCCGCCCACCGCACTTCCCTGGGAGGACATGGCCCCGCCCACCGCGCGCTCCCGCAGGGAACCAAGGCCCTAGACCCCTGCAAAAAAGAGCGCCGACCCTCACAACCAGCAGCACCTCCGAGGAGAGTGCCCACATTCACTCCCGCACGCTGGGGACAATGACACAGGAGGGGCTGCTGGGGTGGACTCAAGGCTGCTGGGACAGACCCCCTCCCTGAGCAGGACACACAGCCGGCACCTAGCAGATCCACACTGTGGAAGCAGCAGCTTCTGAGGACCCACGAGTGGGACAACGACAGTATAAAGTAGCGAGTGTTGAGAATGTGACAATAATGACGTCACACATCCCATCTCACAGATGCAGCCGTGACCAAGGCAATGCTGACCGCGCTACACGCGTACCGCGGAGAGAAGGCCGCAGCCTCCACGTCAACAAAGCAACAGAAGGAAAACAGTAAAAAGAAGACACGAAAGAAAAAGTAATTCTTCAACACAGAACATGAACCACCACAAACATCAGTTCTCTGAGAAGGTTTGAACAGTGAGTTCCCCTCAGCAGACCTTCGAGGACAGGCAGAAAGGGGCCTACGAGCGTCCGCAGCCCCCACAGGCCCCGTCACACAGGCGGGACGCGGGACTGCGTGTAACCCTGTGCCCAAGAACGTGGGGCGCAGCTGAAGGGGGCAGACTGCGGGCTCACTGTGGAACCCTCCTGACAGGGGCCCACCCTTCTTCAAACAGCTGAATCCGTAACTCAAAACTTTCCCACAAAGACAGTTCCAGCCCAGAGGCTTCGCCAGCGAAAGCTTCCCAGCATTTGGGGAGCAGCCACGGTGACCGCACAGAGTCCCCCCGAGAACGAGCCGGGGGCCACGTCCACGGTCCTGTTTAAGTAATTCATGTATGTGTGTGCGAGTATGCATGTATATGAGTATGTCTGTACATGTGTGTACGCACGCATGTATGAGTATGCATGATTATGTACTTATGCGTTCACGCACGAGCGTGTACGGCTATGCAGGTATGCATGCATGCACTTTTGTCAGGGTCCGGTTTTGAGGCAGCACATCCTAGACGCCGACACTGGTGAAGGGGACGCGGAAAACCACAGCCACCCATCGCTCATGACCACGGACACAAAAATCCCACATAAAATCCTACAGCAAGCTGAATTCAGTAAGAAGGAAAAATCACAATTAACACAAGAGACCAGGAGGCTAAGAAGGGACACGGGTGTCCCCTGAAGCCGGGGGCTCCCTCCACACCAGCGGGGGTCTGGCGGCTCCGGCCCGGGGCTGCCGCAGGAAACGCGGGCAGGGCAGCCGGGCCGCGGAGCCCAGGGACACGGGGCCCAGGGAAGACACTAACGGCTCGCGTTCAAATGCGTTTCAGTGCGCGACGCAGCGGCGTGCAAGGCCCAGGGGTACGGAGTGTGGCCTCCGCCACGTCGCTGCAGCCAACGACAGTGCACAGGACGCACCTGGTGTCAGCGTGCTGGCAAACCGCAACGAGAGGGGCACTGCTAACAGCGCCCCCTGTCAAACGCATACACAAAACCAGCTACGAATAAATCGCACCCGGGACGGCCCGCCAGAGACGTCTCTGCGGAGCACACGCCCAGCATCCTCCCATCTCGCTGTGGGGCGGGGACTTGGCGATGCGGAGTGTCAATCACTCCACAACGACACGCCCTGACGTCCCGGGAGCCAATCAGCAAGCAGCAGCGGGTTTTCTATTTGCACAAACGGACAAGCTCACTTTAAAAGTGCTATGGACGTGCGGGGGTAAGGGGGAGCACAGTGCAGGGGGAGGGGGGCACACCACAGGAGGACAGGGGTGGGAGGCACTGGGGGAGGGGGAGCATATCACGGGGGACGGGCTGGGGGAGGCACACCATGGGGATGGGGCACTGCGGGGTCAGGGTGCCGGGGGAGGGGTAGCAGCGGCCGGTCGCCTGGCAGCGTGTACTGAGCGCGCCCACGCACAGACCCCACAGACCCCACAGCCAGGACCTGAGCTCCGAGGCGTAAACGCGCACAGCTGGGGCTCACGGACATGTCCCCGCATGGCGGAGGATGGTCCTGGTGGCTTCCTGCCTACGGCCCCACAAGGGGCCGCTGATGGCTGCAGCCGTGACCTGGGGAAGATTCACGCACTTCGGGGGTGTCACCGTGAAGGTGGCACGAGGGAGGGTTGGGGTCACAGCCCTAGCCGTGGGCACAGCATGCCCGGGTGTGCAGGACAGCTGTCCCACCACAGCAGGCGTGAGTGGCTGTCAGCAGCTGACAGTGAGAGGGGAAGGTACGCTCATGCTGTCTCCATGTGCATGAGGCCGGCAGACACTGCTGGCACCTGGAGGGGACGACCCGGCAGTGGGCACAGGGAGACGAGTGGGGAGGAGCAGCACAGCCGGCGTGTGGCATGGCTGGTGGTCACGCGGTGTGTGGGGACTCGCTGCACTTAGGATAGCCTGAGGGGTCCTCGAGGCTCCGCGCTGTCCTCACCTGGCACTGGGTGCCCTTCCCCGCATGGGGGACAGCTGCAGTCACCAGGCCCCACAAGGAGCAGGGAGCCTGGCACCCAGAGCCTATGCAGCCTGCCGCCTGAACCTACGCGGCCTGGTGCCCCGAAACTCAGCAGCCTGGCACCCCACACTTATGCAGCACCATAGGCCAGCGGGAAGGGTCCCTGCTACCTCAGTCACCTTCCATGCATCTGTAACAATGTTCTCCAGAGTGCAAAACGTTTTCTCAAAGATGCAGAGGATACAAAGAAACGCTGTACAACCTTGAACCTTGGGAAATTGTCTCCCCACAGGAAAACCGCATCTCTCAACAAGACTGTACTCTAGGCCTCCACGTCTGGCTCCTCTCCCTCAGCATCATGCACCTGAGAGCTGTGTACATGTCCTGTGTGTGACACTGTGACACCTGCACACCTGGTCTCTGACCCGGCTCCTGACACAGGGGCCTCAGGTCCCTGGAATTTTCTGGGGGTCAGGAGTGTCTGTTGTCCCAGTGACATGACTCTGGGTGGGCGGTCACCAGGAGGCCCAGCCACAGTTAGACGCATGTGACTTTCTGGGAAGGTCAGGGGCTGGGGGCTGAGCTGATGACCGTCGCGTCCTCGTGACAAAGCCGCCACAGACATCTCTGAGGTGCCAGGTTCAGAGAATCCGGGTTTGCACACGGACACGTGCCAGGAGGGTGACGCACCCCTGCTCCCCAGGGACAGAGCCCCTGCCCTGGGACCCTGCCCCCTCGCCCGGTGTAACCTCTTCACCGGACTGTCCCTCTGTCCTCTGCATGTCCCTTAGGAAACTGGTTAACTATTCTCTGCACATCCCTTAGGAAATCGGTAAGTGTAGGCGCTTCCGTGAGACCTGTGAACTGTCCTAGCCCATTAGAGAATCTGGAGGGTTGTGGGAACCCCCTGAATTTATAGCTGGTCGGTGAGAAGCCCGGGTGACGGCCTGGGACCTGAGACTGGTATCTGAAGTGGGGCCGTCCCGTGGGGGTCTGACGCTGTCTGCAGGTACAAAGTTCAAGAACTGAGCTGCAGGGTGGGGCCCAGCTGGGGTCTGGGCCCCATCTGCTAACACCAGTGTCTGCTGTGCAGACAAAGGAAACAGTTTCCCTTCCACCAGTCAACACTGTTTGTTTTCGCCGTCCACCTGCGGCCTCAGACAGACGGCTTTGCAGCCAGCGGGCTCAGCGGAGGTAAGGAGGCCGTGACGGACGCTCAGACCCACAGCGAGGACACAGCTGCGGCCCTACACGACACGCCCACCCACAGGCTCCCAGTGCAGGGAGCCGACGGACGCCCTGAAAGGAGGAAAAGCAGCTTCTGTCAGTGAGTTCAGCACCCGCTCGCTCGGTAATGGACCAACAAGCACGAAACCTGCAGAAACTGCAGAACCAACCAGGGAACTGACACTGGAGAGCAGGACCCATGCCTACGCGCTCACGGGCGCTCACCGAGGCAGACCAGCTTCCGGCCACGGAGCCCGTCTACGTACCCTGAAAAGGCCCGAAGTGAGCGTGCTTGCCGGCACACACGCGTCACGTGTCAGTAACGAGACGATGTCAGGAGAAGCTGCGTGTTTTGAAAACTGAAACGACAACATTCTAAGTACCTCGCTGGACACATCACAATGTAGGCGGCACTGGAGAGAATGGAAAGCCCGACCCACGGACGAGTGGGCGCTGGTACGCCGTGCCCAGGAGGCAGCGAGCGCAGTCAACGCTTACGTGAGCTCAGGAGAAAGGCTGGATGGCCAAGTGCCTCGTCAACAAGCTGAGGGCAGGAAGGTAAACTCGTGTAAGAAAACAGAGGACATAAAAGACACAAAATGCCAGCGTCAGACATGCAGAGAGCAGCGCAGATCCTGCAGAGTGGAATCCGACAAACAACATTTGCCACTAAGTCCCCAGCTTAGAAGAACTGGGCAGACGCTCTGAAACGCACAACGTGTTACGGCTCAGTAAGCAGCATGGAAACAGCGTGTCTGTTAGAAGAAGCTCCAACTGCAGTTAAGAACCCTTCCCGGAGGGAAAACTCCCAGCTCGATGGCTGGCTGCTGGTTCCAACTGTGTAAGCACAAACGACACGGATTCTAAACAAATGTCTGCAGAAAAGAGGATAAGGGACCTCCCCTTAACTGTGTGAGGCCGGGTGACCCTGACACCAAACCACCAAACGACAACAAAACCACAGACCATCGTGTCTCGTGAACCTGAAGCCCTGACGAGACATGAGGATAAGAGTCCACACACACAGACACGGGAGGCAACGGGACCCTGCCGAAGCCACGTGCATGGGGTCCACCGTGCAGCGAGTCCACGGGAACAACCGCACGGCCACCTCCGTTTGTGCAGACAAGCACAGGACAATTCTTAACACACAGGCGTGGTTTTCAGAAGGAAAGGAGCACTCAGCAAACTCGAAATAG